CTGGAGTGAGGTAGTATCTCATTGTGGTTTTGATTTGTATCTCTCTTTATTGCCAGTGATTTTGAACATTTCTTCGTGCGTCTTTTGGCCATCCAAATATCTTTCTCTGTGAAAGTCCCATGTCTTTTGCCCATTTTGTGATTGTGTTGTCTTTTTCTTCTGGAGGCCCACGAGTATTTTGTTAACTCTGGTCATGAGACCCTTGTGTGAGATGGTATGGCCAAATGTTTGTTCCCAATTGGTAGGTTTTCTTTTCACCCTATTGAAATGCTTTTGATGAGCACAGAGATTTAATCTTTATTTTTTTTATTTTATTATTTTTGTGTGCGTGTACCGTCAAATCAGATCTGACTGGTACAGGAGGAGATGGCCCCTCCTTTCCCGGCAGAGCATCTGGTGGATTCGAACCGTGCACCTCTGGGATTGTAGTTGCAGCTTCTTGGCACTAGGCCACCAGAAGAGATTTAATCTTTAAAAGGTCTCATTCATTAATTTTATCCTCTTCAGATTGTGCATTTCTGGCTGTATATGGCAGTCTCTTTATACCATATAGTAGGCCTCCTAAACTTGATCCCAGTTTGTCTCTGATGAACTTTATGGTTTGAGGCTTTATTCCCAGGTCTCTAATCTACCTTGAGTTGTTTTTTGTGTATGGTGTGAGATGTAGATCCTGTTTCAGCTTTCTGCACGTAGCAGTCCAGTTTTGCTGGCACCGTTTGTTGAAGAAGATGTCATTTCCCCATTTGATAAATTTTATTTCCTTGTCGAATACCAGTTGACCATAGATAGATAGGTCTCTTTTGGGATCTCAATTCTGTTCCATTGGTCTATGTGCCTGTCAATGTACCACCCTCATGCTGTTTTGGTTAATACTGTTGTGTAGTAGGTTTTGAGGTCAGGGAGTGCTATACAGCCCACTTCATTTTTGTTTTTCAGAAGTGTTTTGCTTTATTTAGGGTTTTGTGGGGGTTTTATTAAAGATAAATTACAATGAACAGGAACTCATTTGCCTTTGGTGCCTTTTGTCTTTCCATTGGGTCCCCTCATCAGGGTTTTCTTAGTCCTAAAACAAAGATTCTCACCACTGGTCCAATTGGCAGCATCATGATAGGCAATGACGAGATTGAGATTGTTAAGAGCTTCAGTTTGATTGGCTCCACAATCAGCACTCTTGTTACCAGCAGCTAGGAAATAAAAAGATGAATTGTGTTAGAAAAGTCTGTTCTCAGGGACCTCTCCAGGGTGTTGAAGAGCAACGATGTTAGTCCAGAGACTAAGATATGCCTGATTTATGCCATGGTCTTCGCAATTACTTGCTATGCATCAGAAATCTGGACAATGACTAAGGATGATAGAAGGAGAATTAATGCCTGTGAGCTTTGGTGCTGGAGAAGAGGATTGAATATACACCATGACCTGCTAGGAGAACAAACAGTTTCATCATGGAGAGGGTTAAACAAGGCTGCTTCTTGGAGGCAAGGATTCTGAAGAGCCATCTGACAAAGTTTGGGCATGTGGCAAGGAGGGACCAGTCCTTGGAGAGAGATATTATGCTTGGGAAGGTGGAGGGACAGCATTGGAGGAGAAGACCCTGCATGAGATGGATTGACTCAGTGATTGGTGTAAGGAGGTGGGTATTTCAGAGACAGTAAGGTTGGCCCAGGATAGAGCAAGGTTCAGAGCTGTTGTACATAGGGTCACTATGAGTCACAAGTGACATGATGGCACATAGCAACAACAACCAAACTGAAAGTCAGGGAACCTAGAAATGTGAGGAAGTATTGCAGTGTTGGGTGGAATATTCTTATTGGTCTTTGCTGTTTCTGCTCACTCCTCCTTGAGATGGGTTCCGTTTCCCCCTCACCTGATGTCTGAATCCTTTTTGTTCCATTAGACAATCCATCAACACTTCTTCCCAGATTCATCAAAAACCACAGAGCACATGGCTTTGTCTGACTGTCTGCCTTCCTCTTTTTATTTATTGTCCCCACATGTCCCCACTCCTGGCCAGCTGGACTGCTAACCCTTGACTTGAGTTGTCTTCTCTGCTACCTGCCCTGTCACCCTTCAAGGCCACCTCAGATGCTCACTCCTCCGTGAGAGCTGACCTCACCACCTCACATGATTGATCCCCTCCCTTTGTGAGCTCCCCAAATCCAGCTTGAACTCCTGACAGTTCTCTATCTTTGTACTGTTATCGTCTTTTTTTAAATGATCTTCAGCAATATTTTACTTGCGTATGATATTAATGATATTGTTTTATAATCTCCACATTCTATTGGATCACTTTTCTTGGGAATAGTAACAAACATGGATCCCTTCTAGCCAATTGGCCAGGCAGCTGTCCTTCAAATTTCCTGGCCTGGACTGGTGAGCACATCCAGGGCTGCATCTGTTAACTGAAACATTTTAGTTGATATCCCATTGATCCTGGGGCCTCGCTTATGGTCAGTGCCTTCAGTGCAGCTTGAATTTCTTCCTTTATTACCATTGGATCTTTATCATATGGTACTTCCTGAACTATTTCAGTGTCAGCCAAATCTTCTTGGCACAATGATTATATTGTCCGCCATCTTCTTTTGATGCTTCCTGGATCATTCAAGATTTTGCCCATATCATATCTAGTATTGTGAAACAGATCATCAATTGCTCACATGCAAGTTCAAACTGAGGCTGAAAATAATTCAAACAAGTCCTTGAGAACCAAAAGAAGGCATTGTGTTTATCTCACCTGAGTTTAAAAATTATGTTAAGAAAAGATTTGAAGCATTGAACATCAGTGATCAAAGACCAGATGAGTTGTGGGTTGATATCAACCATGAGGAGACGAAAAGGTCATTACAAAGACAAAGGAGAATGAAAAAGCCAGAATGGATGTCAGAAAAGACTGAAAATTGCACTGAGCATTGAGAAGCCAAAACAAAAGGACAATTTCAAAGCTGCTGGAGCAATCAAAACAAAGTATTATAACAGAAAGCTCAGAGAGCTGGAACTGGAGAATAAAAAGGGAGAAACTCACTCAGCATTTCTCAAGCTGAAAGAACTAAAAAACAAATTCAAGTCTGGAATTGCAATACTTAAAGATGCTATGGGGAAAATCTTGAATGATCCAACAGCATCAGAATAAGATGGAAGGAATCACTGTACCATCTCTTACTAACTGTATGATAATGTCAAGTTACTTGATTTTCTCTGCTTTTCCTATGAAATAGAAATGATAACGGTGCCTACTTTAAAGGATCACCATAAGGATTAAAGGAATCGACATATGTAAAACACTTTTAAAAAGACCCGTTAAATAGTAAGAACATAGCTAAAATTGCCTGTTACTTGTTCTGAGACCCCAGTTCCTATAATGTCCAATGACATTATTCTCTTTAGAGAGTATTTAGGCATATTCTCTTTAGAGATGATAATCTATGTGATTCTTGGAGCCTTGTGTCTAAAATTAAATACTGAGGCTTGTATCTGGGATATATATTAAAATGTATCATTCAATCTCACATTCTTGCCCCCCCAACAAAATAATAAGAACACGAAGAACCCAATTTAAAAGTGGGCAGAAGATATAAACAGGCACTTCATAAATGAGAAGGTGTGAATCGTCATTGAGCAAATACAAAGATATTTCATAGCATTATCGCTCATATTGTTGTCTAGTTGGAACTCACTCATAGCTGGTCCTCCAACAAATCCCCGAGGCTGTAAATTGCATGGGAGAAGTTTGCTGATCTCTCTCCTGTAGAACCACTGGTAGACAAACTGCCAAAGCAGCACTGCCTTTGGATTAGGAATACAACTCCCCTACTGACTACACCACCAGAACTCCTTTTAAATAACTCTAGTTAGCACTAAAATATTAATTAAAACCACAGTGAGAGAACACTGAACACAAACACTCTAAAGATCAAAGTATAATAAATAGACTGACATTACATTGGCGAGGGTGTGGAGCAAATGGAACCCTCTTAGCTTGCTAGGAAGAATGTGAAAACAGTACAGCTACTTCATGTAGCAGTGTCTTATAAAGTTAAATGCACATTTGCCATATAGCCAAACAGTTTCACTCCCATGTATCTAAGAGAAACTATAACACATGTCTCTACAAAGGCATGTGCATAAATATAATAATGTTTTTAATAGCTCAAAACTAGAAGCAACCCAAATGTTCTTTAACTACTTGTTGTTGTTTACCATAGAGTCGGAACAGGCCCATATCTGACCATCTGGAAAGGTTTTCAGAGACAGTTATTCTCATGGGAGGAGAGTGCCCATCATTCTCCTGCAGAGCAGCTTGTGGCCTCAAACCATGCTCCTTTGGAATTGACCTCAAACCACACACCTTTGGAATTGCAGCACAACTTCTTGGCACTAGGCCACCAGAGCTCCCCTATCCTCTAGAAAAGAGATAAACAAATGTACTTGCTGTGCATCACGGAGTTGGATAATGACTGAGGATGGCAGAAGAAGAATTGATGCCTTTCAGTTATGATGATGGAGAAGAGTATTGAACATATCATGATTCCAAAAAGAATAAACAGGTTTGTTCTAGAAAAAGTGAAGCCAAGTTGCTCCTTGGAGGCAAGGATTTTTTTTTCTTTTATTTTATGCTGGTTTACATACAAAATTTAGTTCATATAAATTGTTTTTCACACTGGACCTTTTCCCTTTGGAAGCAAGGATTTTGAATCTCCATCTCACATGCTTTAGGCATGTTGCCAGGAGGGACCAGTCTTGGAGAAGGACGTCATATTCAGAAGGGTAGAGGGACAGCACAGGAGAAAATGACCCCAAATGAGATGGATTGACACAGTAACTGGGCTAATGGGGGTAGGTGTGTCAGAAACCGTGAGACTGGCTCAGGATAGAGCGGATTCACGGCTATTTAAATAGGGTCACTATGAGTCACAGTTGACTCAATGGCACATAACAACAATATATTCATACAATAGAGTATTACTCAGTGGTAAAATGATATGAAAAAATATATATGCAACAACATGGATAAATCTGAAAAACCTTATGCTAAATTAAAGTCAAAAGACACTCTGTGCTTGCTCTATGATTCCATTTATTAAAAAAATGGTGCCACTGTGTATCTTCAAGTCTGAACCAACCCAGCTGAATCTCCAGCAGGTTTTCAGAGGGAGTAAATCATGTGAGAGGAGATTGTCCATCTTTCTCATGAAGAGTAGCTGGTGAATTCGAACCACATGCCTTTGGGTTGGCAGTGCATCTCTTTACCATTGAGCCACCAGGTGCCATAGGAAATTTAAGAAAAGGCAAAACTAAGAAGACAACAGAGCATATGAACTTTATTAACTTTGTAAATATACCAGTGTAAATTTTTTTTTAAAAATTTAAAAAATGTTAAAAGACAACAGCTTAGTGGTTGCATGTGACCATGTCTGCAGGGGGGAATTAGCAGCAGAGAGACATGAGGGCACTTTTTTAGAGCATGGAAACTGTTGTATATCTTTACTGCGATGGTAGGTACACAATTACAAAACAAAGCACTACACACTTGATATGGGTACATTTTGTTGGGTATAATTAAGGCCATTATCAGAACCCTTGGGTATTGCAAATGGGTAAGGGCTCAGCTTAAAACCAGATAGAATTGTTGGTTCACTTCTCCTTGGAGCTCTAGGTAAGTACCTTGTAAGAAAGACCTGGCCATCTGCTTCAAAAGATCCCAACCATTAAAAACCCTTTTGAGCCCTCTTCTTCTTAGAAGACACACAGACTAGCAGCAAAGTCAAAATCTGCTTGATGACACTGGCTTCGTATCTATTGAAAACGAAATTCCAGAGGCTGTTTCAGTAATTTTCAGATGGCTGTCCAGAAGCCTTGTGTGTGGTTAACTGGAAGAACAGACCTTCTTATCAGTAATAGGGTCATCTCAGGCTTGTTCTTTTCCAGGCCACCAAGTCACAAATCCAGCTCTCAGTGGTTATTTCTATAGGCCATCACAGGGTATCCCAGGCAGAGCCCAGTAGGAACAAGCTTGTGCTTCTGTCACTAATGATACAAGCCTTCATCATATTCCCTGGCAAGCGATGTTTGTAGTCATTACACTCATTGAAGAAGAGAACAGAGTAATAATGAGCTGGGTGCTATCAGCTCACAAATAATTCATAATGGGCAAACTAGGACAGGAGCAGAACTTTTTTTGGCTAAGGAGGTTGCATGTCACTCTTTAAATCTAGGCCAAAAATTTATTTATAATGCATAGACAGTCTCTCAGAAAGTTAAAAGCTTCCTTTCTTCTCTTCCATGTGTTTGAACATTGCTTTTTGCCCTGGACTTGCAAAAAAGCACTTCAGCATCTTATTGCCATCAGCCTGTGATTGTGAGAATATATGTGAACGTAGTTTCTTAACTAGAAACGTGTGTAGAAATTCCTTAAGGAATAGGCAGATCTACCACAAAGGACTCTTTAAAGTTTAAAAGAACAAGGGTGTCACTTTGATGACTAAGTCACCTGACCTAAGCCATGGCATTCTTAATTGCCTTATATGCATGTGAAAGTTGGGCAGTGAATAACGAAGATCAAAGAATTTATGGCTTTGAATTGTGTTGTTGACAAATTCTGAATATTGCATGGACTGCCAAAGGAACAAAGAAATTTGTCTTGGAAGTTCAGCGAGAGTGCTCCTTGGAAGTGAAGCTGGTGAGACTTCACTCTCCATACTTTGAACATCTTAACAGAAGGAACCAGCCTCACAGTTGATTAAGTGGTGGTGTTGTGCTGGTGACTGGGGGCCATCAAGTCAAGTACTCATAGTGACCCTGTGAACAACAGATCAGAGCCCTGTCCTATCCTGTGCCATCCTCATCATCTCTGACACTTGGACCATTGCCTCAGTCCCTATATCAATCCATCTTGCTAAGGATCTTCCTCTCTTTCACAGACCCTCTACCTTCCCATACATGAAGTCCCTTTCCAAGGAGCAGGCTCTCCTAACAACATCCCCAAAGTATGTGAGACCAAACTTCATTATTTTTGCCTTTAAGGAGCACTTTGGCTACACCTTCTGCAAGACACATCTGTTTGTTATTTTGGCAGTCCATGGGATATTTAGTACTCTTCTCCAGCACCACAGCTCAGAGGGATCAGTGGAGGGTCAGTGAAGGAGAAGACAACGAGACCCTTGATGAGATGGATTGATCCCATGGCTGCAGCAGTTCAGGCTCAACAGCAATCATGCAGTTGATGAGGTCTGGCGTTGTTGTACATAGGATTGCTGTGACTTGGAGCCATCTTTGATGGCATGTAACAGCCAAAATCTGAGAACAGATTGAAGCAAGAGAAAGGCCAGAATAGAAATAAGACCTTGGGGACATTTGAAGAATTACTCCAGCTATTATCATGGGTATGGACTGCTAAGAGAGCAAACAAGGTTCATCCTAGAGAGGGTGAAATCAGGAGAGGTAAAACCAGAGAGGGTGAAATCCTTGGAGGCAAGAATTCTGAAGCTTCATCTGACCTACTGTGGACATGTTGCAAGGTGGAACCAGTCCTTGGAGAGGGACGTTATGCTTGGGAGGATGGAGGGACAGCACAAGAGAGGAAGACCCTGAATGAGATGGATTGATTCAGTGGCTGGGATAATGGGGTAAATGTGTCAGAAACAATAAGATTGGCACAGAATAGAGCAGGGTTTAGGGCTGTTGTACATAGGGTCACTATGAGTCGCAGGCAACTCAACAGCACATAACAGCAATAACAACATTATCAGGAACAATACAAGCTATGATAGCATCTGTATAAAATAGATTGTAAAATTGTGTGTTAAAATAAAACAGATTGTGTGTGATTTTGGAGCCCTAATGACACAGTGGTTAAGTGTTAGCTAACCAAAAGACTGGAGATTGAAACACTCTATTCTGCTTCTATAATAATTTACATCCACAGAAATACAGGTATTTCTACTTGTCCCAGGGGCTCACTATGTTTCAGAATTAACTTGATGGTTTGAGTTTTTGATGTGTTTTTAAGTGGTAAAGGACAAACAATGGTTATGATCATCAAGCATGACAGTGAGGAGAAGAATATTTGGAAGTTCACGGATACCTAGAGACATTGATACCTATCTTATGGGAGATCTGGTGACCTAGTGGGTATGGGCTGGCACTGCCAACCCAAGAGCATATAATTCAAATCTACCAGCTGTTCCTCAGGTGGGTGATAGGCAGTCTCTTCCCATGTGGTTTACATCCTCTCAAATCCCACTGGAAGGTCAACTAAGAGTCACTTCTTACTCAGTGACATTGAGTTGAGTTGAGTTGATCCCAAGGTAGACGCATCTCCTGATGGAAACTCACAGAGTTGTCAGAAACCAGCATCACCCTCAATTCTGATCCACATTGACTCACAGGTCTTGATGATTGGTTTTTCCAGAAACCTTGATGCCAGGACTGGGAGGACCTGGATTGGCAAACAGATGTGTTGTGTTTGATGGGCTCCACAGTTATGACCTCTATTTCCTCAGTTAACTGATTTTCTGGAGCAAGTCCAGGAGCAAGTCCCTCTTAGATGACATTAGAAGGGGTGGATCAGCTTTCCCAACCCTGATCACCTTTAAGTAAGCTAGTCCTGCAGACCCCAGCATCAGCCTTGGGGTCCATGACGGTCTCATTAAATATCAAGTTGGCTTGAGTGGCACTGCAGGCTTGTTGAGAGGGAAGGAACTGTTCTTGCATTAAACATGTCCCGTCTGACCATGTAGAGCAGCACCTTTGTATCATGATTTCCTAACCAAATTCTTAAGGATTCTAGGGTTCCCCAGAGATGTTTCATGGGTACTCAGAAGAAGACCTCTTTTAATTAGAGCCACTCCACTGATACCTGACCCATAAGTGCTCAACGAGTATGTTGTTATTCATCATGGTTCAGCCACATAGGGTACTTGCCATATGCTGGCCCTTGCCTTGTCCAAGGCTTGCACATGGTCTTGTGATAGAATGCCTTGTCTGGCCAGCAGGATGGTGAGCTCTTTGAAGCAGTGGCTAGGACATAGCCCTTCCTGTCCCTGACTCTAAGCTAGACACTCAGGACACTTGGCTGCCCCTGGTGACTTAGCACCAGAGACTAGGTAGGGTGCTCTGGGTTGCTGAAGTCATGGTTTGGTTTCATAATTGGCTAAGGGAGGGGTCAAAGTAAACCATTCTGGGCTGCAGCCATCTTTGCAAAACAGCATGTTGTTTGCTCTTGGAAGTCAAAAGCTCTATGAAGTCAGGGTGACCAGCAACTGGCATTGGAGCTGCTCTGTGCAACAAAGCATCTGAGTCACAACTTATTATTAATGCTTTCTGTCTCTGTGGCCAACAGTCTAGCAAAACATTTTTCTTTTTCTGTCCCCACCACTCAGCTCTGAAAGTGACTGATGGTACCTTCCTTGAATTTTGATAAAGTGTTTTCCGCAGAACATACTCTGATAAAGTGTGTTGATCTCATAAGAAAGCCTGTAGGACGTGGGATATCCCAGTAACCTCTATGTTTCATGTTTACAGAGCTTCTCGAAACAAATCTGAGAAGAAGCGTCGGGACCAGTTCAATGTTCTTATCAAAGAGCTCAGCTCCATGCTCCCTGGCAACATGCGGAAAATGGATAAAACCACCGTGCTGGAAAAGGTCATTGGATTTTTGCAGAAACACAATGGTAAAGGACACACATCTTGGGTTTCAATCCATTCCTGCCCTTTCCGTTTGCTGAAGACTTCATCCACCAAGTCTTCTGGTTTGTTCTCTCTGTCCTCCAAAGCCCAGTTCCCTCAGCCTAGACGTCCTACTTTAAAGGTGTCCCACACTTTATCTTAGCACCATCTCCAGTAGGTTTGAAAAGGACATGCACCTCCCACACAGCTTTCTGAGCCAGAGGGGAGAATCCAGAGGAGCTACACAAGGAGCACCCAGCCCCAGCAGGGCGATCTTAGCAGTGGAAATGTCTTGATTAAAAATACCTGGAACAAGCTTTTGCTGTTGTGTTCCCACACAGCCCTGAACAGTTACAATACTCAGTCTTTATTTTCCACTGGGTTAAAGTGCTCTGGTGTCTCCATCATTCTTTGCTACTGCGCCTAAATTCTTTGGGTTTCTGAGCTACACTATTAAAAAAAATTCAAATCAATTACTTAACATGAAATTTTTTCTTTTCCCTCCAAGGAGATATCACTCAGATACCATAAAACTCACCAGCTTAAACTCTACTGTTTAGTGACTTTCGGTGTATTCACTGAGTTTTATAACCATCAGTACATCACTACTGTCTATTTTCATGATTCTTCAAAGGAGTTCCATACCCATAAGCCATCACTCCCATGGCCCCTTATGCCCCAGCTCCTTGCAGCTGCTAATCTACTGTCTATCTCTATGGATTTGCTAGTTGTGAATATTTCATACAAACAAGATAATAGCTGGTCTTTTGGGCTTGACTTTTTACTTAGCATTCATGTGGCGACATATATCAATACTTAATGTTTATTTTAATGACTGAATAATATTCCTTTGTACTGATATACCACACTTAGTTTATCCATTCATCAGCTGATGGACAACTGGACTGTTTCCACATTTTAGTTTTTGTAAATAATGCTGCTATGAACTTCTGTCTAACATTTAATATGAGCATCATGGTTTCTGAGTAAGTCCATGGTTTATGAATCTCTGACTTACGGAAAAGTCATATTTATCCTTTAATATTATATCAGTTTGCCCTAACTTTGAAATAATATAACTCTACTCACAACAAATTCTTCATCATTATCATTGCTACTTGTTGCACAGGCAGCCTTTAGGTGCACTAAAGTAAGTCTAATTAAGAACCATATGCATCTTTTTTCAGTTTACCTAAATATACATGTAAAAGTGGAATTGCTCATCATATGGTAACTCTGTTTTTAACTTTCTGAGGAACTGCCAAACTGCTTTCCACAGAAGCTGTGCCATTTTTTAGGGAGCTCTGAAGGCATAGTTCAAGGAGAGTAGTACTGCTAACCCAAAGCCGGCAGGTCTCTAGTGATTCGACTCCAGCAGCAACTCTGCAGGATAGAGATGGGCAGTCACCTTCCCCTGTGATTCACAGCCTCAGAAACCCGATAGAGGCTCACTGTCAGTTGAAACCAACTCCACAGCAGTGAGCTGGGCCGTTTTGCATTCCCATCAGCAATGTATGTGGGCTGACTTTCTCCATATTTTTACCAAACTTAGTATTACCTTCCTTTGTTGTTTTGATCCAGTTGGTTTGTTGTTGGTTTGTTGGTTTTTTTTCTAAATTATAGCTTTTCTTGTGAGTGTAAAGTGGCAACTCATTATGGTTTTCTTTCACATTTTCCTGCTGATTAATAACACTGAATGTCTCCTTATGTGCTTATCTGACATTTGTATATTTTCTTTGAAGAAATGTCTGTATAAATACTGTGCCCATTTTTAAACTAGTTACCTTTTTCCTTAATTTCCTTACATATTCTAGATACTTCATCCTTATTAAAATGTAATATGTGAGTTATCTTTTCACTCTCATAATAGTATCATTTGCTGCACAGGTTCCTAACTTTGATAAAGTCCGGTTTATCTGTGTCTGTATTTTCCTTCTGGAGGACATCTACCTGGCTAACAGACTGGTATTCCCATTTGCAAAAAAGATGATCTGACTGTGTGGCAGTTATGAAACAATATCATTAATATCACACGTAAGCAAAATCTTCCTAGAAATTATGCTAAAACAACTGGAACAGTATATCAACCGAGAACTGCCAGATATACAAGCTGGATTTAGAAGACGCCATAGCACTAGGGATGTCATTTCCAATGTCAGATGGCTCTTGACTGAAAGAAGAGAATACCAGAAGAATGTCTATTTATGTTTTATTGATTCTGCAAAGGCACTTATCTGTATAGGTCACAACAAATAGTGGCTAACATTGAGAAAAATGGGAATCCAAGAACACTTTATTGTGCTCATGTGAAACCTGTACTTAGACCAGGAAGCAGTCACACAAACAGAGGAAGGAAACACTGCATGGTTCAAAATCAGGAAAGGAGTTTATCAGGAATGTATCCTTTCTTCATACCTTTTTAATCTATATGCTGAATAAATCATTCACAAGGCTGGAGGAGGAATGTGGCATCAGGATTGGAGGAAAATTCACCAAAAAGGTACATTATGCAAATGACACAACCTTGCTTGCTGAAATTCAGGAGGGCTTGAAACATTTGCTGTGAAAGTTCTGTTACCAACTCAAAGGCAGGCAGTTTAGATCCACTGGCTGTTCAACAGGAGAAAGGTGGGCTGTCCCTTCCCATGTGATTTACCTCTTAAAACGTGCTGAGGACATGATGACATACAACAACAAGCCTTCTAAACCATGAAAAAAAAATTATTTTTGTTAGTAATCCACTTGTGGTATTTCTGTTTTAGCAGCACTAAGTCACTGAGACAAGTTACTTTTGCTCTAGATGTTATAAGACCATTGCTTCCTGCAAAGTTTCAAAGATTTGCATCTATGATTTCTTTTAAAAATTTCATTGTGTTTAAGTTTTACATTTCCGTATTTGATCCATTTGTAGTCAATTTTGTATTACCTAAAACAAAGTTTTAAAATAAAAAAGGGTGTGCATCAGAGTAGTTTTATCCTTTTTCCATACCTATTCCACCTGTACACTGAGCAAATCATTCTAGAAGCTGGATTCTGTGGCCTCAGGATTGGAAGAAGACTCATCAATGGCATATGTTATGTAGATGATGCAACTTTGGCTCCTGAAAATAAAGAAGACTTGGAACACTTGCTGCAGAAGATCAGAGACTACAGTCTTCAATATGGATCCCATCTCAACACCAAGAAAACAAAAATCCTCACCAGTGAACCAATAGCAACATTGTGATAGACAGAGAAAATATTGAAGTTATCAATGATTTCATTTTACTTGGATCCACAATCATCACCCATGGTAGCAGCAGTCAAGAAAGAAAAACAAGTGTTCCATTGGGAAAATCTGCAGTCAAGGACCTCTCCAAAGTGCTGGAGAACAAGGATGTCAATTTAAAGACTAAGTTTTGTCTGATCCAAGCCATGGTCTTTTCAAATACTTTTATGAATCCGAAAACTAGACAGTGACTAAGGCTATCAGAGGAAGAAACAAAGCATTTGAGTTGTGGTGTTGGAGAAGAGTACTGAATATCTCACATATTGCAAAAAGAACAAACAAATCTGTCTTGGAGGAAATAAAACCAAGGTGCTTCTTAGAGGTAGGCGTAGTAAAACTTTGTCTCATATACATTGGGAATGAATGTTCTCAGGATGGGCCAGTCCTTGGAAAAAGACAGCATGCTTAGAAAGGTGGAAGGTCAAAGAAAAAGAGGAAGACCCTCAACAAAATGGATTGACACAGTGACAGTGGCAATGGTCTCGAGCATATCATGAATGAGGATGACACAGAATGGGACAAGGGTCAGATCTGTGGTTCATAATGTGGCTATGGGTTATAGTAGACTTAATGACCCCTAACAATACCAAAGGACATCATACCTGGAAAGATGAAGGGTCAGCGAAAGGGAGGAAGACCTCCAACAAGATGGATTGATAAAATGACCTCAGCCATGGGCTCTAGTGTATCACAGATGATGAAAGTGGCCCAGCATAGGGCGGGGTTCAGGTCAGCTGTTCATTGGGCCGCTAGGAGCCTCACTCAACTCAGCGGCACCAAACAATAACAAAATAAAGTTAAGATAGGAATCCACATTCCTCTTTGCATGTCCTATCAGTTGCTCTACAGCATACTTTCTCTTTTTCAAACATATCATACCTTCTTAAAGGTGTGACACACAAACAGTAGATAGTTGGTTCATAAGTATGAGTTGAATTCATTACCATAAAGTGAACACAACCATCCAACTACTACCTCAGTCAAAAAACAGAAGGCTCCCGAGCTGCTGGTGTTTCCTGTGGTTTACCAGAAATAAACTCTATTCTGACTTCTGATCTCAAAGGTTGGCTTACTCAGATAGTATCATGCATTGTGCATATGTTTATGAGGCTCATCCACATTGTTCTGTTGTATAGTTTGTTCATCTCTGTTACTATGTAGTGCTCCAACAGAAGAATTTAACCCCTGAATCTGTTTTTGAGCCTCCATCCTTGTCAAATCATTCTGTCTCTCTTTTCTTTTCCCCTCAATCTCTTTACCTCCGAGCACAGACCACGCCCACCCTGCCACTCACTTGCAGATGACAATCTCCATTTAAAAAAATAGAGAATAGTTAAGCAGGTTCAGGAGCTGTAAAAATCAGAAAAGGCAGAATTCTTTTTTCCTTAACCATGGCACTAAATATAATAAAGTCAAAGATGTCAGTTATTGAGAAAATAATTATAGTTCTTCTATGCTTTTGGTGATGCTTTTTTTTCACCGAACATTTTCCTAGACAAGATGATTTCATGGAAGAGGGCATGGCTGGGATATCTGAAAGTTTCCTTAAACTTGTTATTCTTATATTGTTTCTTTGATAATTGTATATACCTATTAAAAATGTGACAGTAATGATACAGCCTCCTTTTCTATTTTTTCCTAAATCTGCCCAGGGGAAAGTAAAGAACATGTTAATTGCTTTTGTTAAAAGTCAGAAAAGAACAATCAAGTGGGATTGAGATAAAGTGTTCCGGTGGC